CTCCAGGCTAGGGCAGAAATAGTCCTAGGAGAGCAGGTGCAAGCACGCAGCTCACGGATTCCCAGCCAAGCACCCCGCTGGGGATGTGGATGGGGATGATGCTCTTCCTTGGAGGGCTGCCCTGAGCCGTGCACCACAGAACATAGCAGGGAAGTGCCACCAAAGTGCCATGCCCTTCCATCCTGGAGGCCAGATGTGCCCTCTACCCYCCTCCTCCTGCAAGGCCATGGAGCCTGCAGGGAGAAGAGCAGCCCCAAAGCTTCTGCATCTCCTTGGAGCTACTCCGGACGCACTCTAAGAACCAGCACTCACTCCGACATAGCTCCAGCTCCTCTTCCTCCTGCTCGACCGAAAGCAGGATCAGTCCCAGATGAGCCACACAGTGAGCCAGGACGTCTGCTCACCTGGGCACGTGCTAGCTGCAGAGCAGGTCTTTGTGATGCTCAGCCCTCCAAAGAAGCTCCCCTCCACAGCACGGCATCAACCCGCCGGCTCCACACGCCCTTCCCGAGCGCCRGTGCTCTGCCTGCCTCGGGGATTTTTCCTTCTCTTCCCTTTTTCCCGGAGCGTTTTGAATGTGCAGATGCCCCAGCTTCTTAAAATTCAGCCTCGGGGCGTGGGAAGTGTTTTGGAACATGCCCAAGCTGTCTGCTCTCGGCGCGCGCGTGCTGCTAAAAACGATCCACCTCCAGCCCCCGTCTCCGGCACCGCTCGTCAAAGCGCCGCGCGCGTCCCCGGAGAAGCAAACCCGCACGCRCCACCCAGCAGAGCAGGGCTCTGAGCCCCTGCATTCATCCTCTCCCGATGGGGAGAGCCCTCACCCAGAAACACGTTGGTGTTTCAAGTCACCGGGCAAACTTCTTTTYGCATAATCCCTCAAAAGTGGCGAGTGAGCATTGTGCTGTGGAAGGTGCTGCACCAGGAGCTGTTGAGCTGAGCATGCAGCAAGGGCAGGTTGGGAGCCCAGGGGTCTGGGGTATCCAGCCTTTAGGGTACCCTTCTCAACRTGCATCCCATACACGTGCCATTGGCATTTCCCATGCCATATCCTTCAGCGATGCCCCTCAGCCCAAGCTGCATAGGGCCCAAGGTGGGCACAGCGCTCGAGATGTGGCAGCCTCGCTCGCCCGGATGGGAGGAAAAGCCAATGCTTTGGCAAACTTAYGAGGATGTGTGAAAATGAATGTATTCCTCAAAATATCTCAGGCGGAGCGGCCTACCTGGCATATTTTGTTAGTCATGAAACACAAGCCGCGCGTTGACTGTGTTGTGCGGCTTCCCATCTGCTGGAATGCTTTAAATACCAAAACTTTCCACTTTTTTTTTGGGCTCAAGGAGCACGACGGCAGCAGAATAGTGCTGACTCAGGCTAGCGGGGCGCGCAGCCGCCCAGATCGAAACGCTTCCAAGAACGCCCCCTCCGCTCGCCCAAGATCTGCCAAAGCTGGTAAAAAACTAGAGGGGCATTTGGGTTTTTGGCCATATGGAAACCGCAAGGAAGAGGCGAGCAGAGCAGGGAGACGCCAYGCACAATGAGCCTGCCCAAACGGCAGCACCAAGCCCGGTATTAGTGATTTATGTCGGATTCTCTCAAAGCGGAGAAAGCTCGGAACCCGAGTTGCTGGTTTTTACAGCTTTTTTTTTCCATTTTCTGTGCTCCTTTGTGCTGCTTGTGCGGGTGCCTCATCATTTGGCTTCCCTTACAGCCACCGTTTGCTTCCCACCGCAAGAAAACTCTCCCTGTACCCGGTCCCCAAGCCTAATTCCCATCTCCAGCTGGGGTAGGACAGTGGAATACATCTGTGATAAATCCCACCAGAGGCAGAGCCTTTGGTCCCAGGACCTGCAGGAGGAGCCTCTCCTTCCAAACTGAGATGGTCTCCAGGAGAAATAACCTGGGAATAATCCAAGCCAAAGAGGTTTTATTGCATCTTCTCAGGGGCGTTTTCCTACTGACAATTGATGAGTTAGTATCTACCAATATCCATTATAGGGTTTATTTTATTTCTTGTTAAAAAAGAAGAATAAAAGGCAGAACCTGGGAAGAATGAAACCAGCAACAGAGATGGGAGACTGACAGCAGCTGCCTGGCAGACAGTGAGTGAAAATGCTCTGACAAGATGAAATGTTTTTTCCTTCATTGAAATCGCTCCCTTTCGGAATGACTAATACACGGCTCTCGCACAGCGGATATTTCCAGAGTGATGAGATGTTTTTAAAATATCGCACTATGCCTCAAAATATCTCACTCTGGCTCAATAGATCACCCGAAACACCACCCACGGATATCATAAATAAATAGATACTCTATGGGCATAAAAGAGCGGGGCTGTCCAGGGCCGGGTTAACATTCTTTCTCGTGAGCAAGGCCGGAGAGCATCGGGAGATGCACGAAGCAGCATGCCCGGCCCTGAGCCTCTGCACCCCCAGCTCCACTCGCYTGGGAGAGCAAACGAAGAAAAAATCCCCAGCAGAACGGAGACCGAGCCGACTTGCAAAACYGTTCCCCGACAGCTGGTATTTTACWGATTGGGAAGAGAGAGGAGAAAAAGCAGTCAAGTGGCGACACGAGGGAGCCCCTCAGCTGCCTCAGACGGTGGGAGAGCGCAGTYGTCTCCCCTCAGAACTATAGGATGGAAACTATAGGAACTATAGAATGAGCATCTGGATGAGCATCTGACCAGAACTATAGGATGAGCATCTGGAAAGGCTCAGCACAGGGCTGGATCCAAGGACGTCTCTACCCGCGGAGCTCCAGTTAAAGCAGGTCCCTCGTGCCYGTAACACAGCAAGCCGGCGGCGTGGCTGCAGCCGTGGGCACGGGGCAGCCGAAGGACTAGGTCACCCCTGGCTCTCTGCCACGGCCTTTGGGAGCTACGGCTGCTTTCCGTCTCCTCCAGGAACCTGCCCRCGCTTCCTTTTGCTGACTGAAGGGAAGAGGGATAATCCTAGAGGAACATTTTAGCATCTCGGCTTTGCTCAGCAAGATGGAGAAAAAGAAAAACGAAAAGCTTAGGTGCCCCAGGCTATGCCAGCCCCACGTCGCCTCCTCCCTGGGAACATTTACAAAAGTGCCTATTTCAGGCGTTGGGAAGGAAGTGGCATTTCCCTGCAGGAGAGGCAAAATATTTTCCTTGGAAAACACCGATACTTTTTCAGGATGGCCTGAAATGAGTGGTCCCCAGGGACCCAGTCTGAAATGACTGGTCCCCAGCAAGAAACCCCGAAGCCCCCAGGGATTTCAAACACGGAATTTTGATAAGGGTGAGCATCTTACCTGAAGGGATTTGACTCCATTGGCTACAGAGCCAGACCAGGAGCTGTCCCAAAGCTCCTCTTGCAGCCAAGCCTTCCCTAGTCCTCCTCATCAGCCTCAGCCTGACTCCCTCCTCCGGATCCTTATTCCCCACTGAAGATTGCATTGGGGTGGCAGGGTTGCCAAGATGCTAGAGCCATCGCAAAGGTGGACAGAAGGGAAGCCAAAGCCTGTCATGGCCCATGAAGACAGCTCCAACATCTGTCCTCAGACAGGGACGCCTTCACCCACACAGGCACACTCCTCAGATGAGCTTCTAAAATATTTACTGCCCAAATATCAATCCTCGTAAAGCTAGGCAGCCAGTTGGGCTTGGGGAGGGGGAAGGAGCTGGGGTGGATTGTCAATAATGTCATAAACACAGGCAATTTTATGTATCCCTGGAAATGGCCGAGGAACATGCAGCTTGACAGATGTGCGAGTGGGTAATGCAGGCTCCCTCGTTACGAGCGCCAGGATGTCAGGAGGAATAGAGGAGCAGTAATTCACAGCGTATTGGGTTCTGGGAAGCACAGGGCGTTGCAGCGAATACGTGATGGTCACCACGGCAGAGAGGGCACCAGGGRGGAAAAAACAGGTGCAGAGATGTGTGGGAATACGTCCCATTGAGGGGAATCTGCTGATGGCACCAGAGCAAGGATGATGGAGAGGACAGATGGTGCGACAACTCTGCTTACCCCTGTGCCTTCAAAAACWCTGCTCCTGTGCACCGCACGAGCACACATTGCCCCCAGAGCTTTGGTTACCCCGCACCATAAGTGCTGGACCCTCTGTAGGACAAAACCCAATGCAACCTTTCCTAGCTTCCCGCACGGCACCAGATCCTGGAGACAAGCAAAACAAACATCCARGGGCTATAGGGAACCAAAAAGCAACCAAGAAAATCCCTCCCTCCCCCCAAAAAACATCACAAAACCCAACCCTGACAGGTGACTCCATGTGAGTGGTTCTTCCAGGTAAACCCAGCAAATACTAATTAATTTAAAACCACCTCACCAAGAAACTAAGTTCTACTTAAAGGTTACCCCCAACAAAATCTGGGCATGAGCATAAATCATGCAGGGCCACACTCCCTTGTGGGAGCTTGCCTTGCCAATCGAACGCTGCAGCACATTGCGAGCTCCAAACTGACCTTGCTTAACYGAGGAGCACCCAGAACAGGCAGAGGACGTCACCTCCGGGCTTCCCACTGCACAACCCCTTCTTCCAGCACTTCCCATCATGACTCAGGTCAAAGGGAAGAATGCCAGAGAAACAAGCACTTCCTATGAGTTCATCTCSAGCATCTTCTCCTCATTCCTGCGCGCAAGAGCTCTATGCCACACAGTGCAAGAGCAGCAAAAGCTGCAYGTTATCGACTAGTGTTTCCCCACCTCCCTGCTGCTCCCCAGGATGGGAAGCCCCCGATGTCGCCCTCAAGGCTTTCGCCGAGGAAGGAAAGGCTGCGCATGCCGGCAGAGCCTCTGGAGCGTTAATAAAAGGCAAATTACAGGCAATTATCCTTGGAAGCGCACCCGCCACGCAGAACCCATCACAACAAGGCGGTCCCGACCCCAGCCTGACTCCTGCCACCTCCTTCCCGAGCCTCCTCCGCCAGCCGCCTCCCCAGGAGCCCCCACATGGCAATTAGGCCTTCATTAGCAAAACAACTTTGTTTTGCCCCAAAGCACGTGGTCCTTACCTCGGGAGGCGGCGCTCTCCTCCCGCGGCAGCGCCTAGCAGAGCTGCGCGGATGCCAGGTTGCTCCGGTGGCTCTCCGGGCACGGAGTACGGCTCATGGCTCGCGGTGGGCTGTGGAGGAGAGAGCACAGCGATCTTAGACTGGGCAAGCGCAGCCCAGAGCTCACGGCCTAGCAGCAGTGCCGAGGGAGGGATGCGCACGCTACCCGCTCGCCTACAGCGCTGCGGGCATCTGAAGCAAAGAGCCCAGCTCTTTGCATGGAGATAACCTCCCTCAGAGGGATGCTAGTGGCATGATCCCATGTCACGGGGATGGAAGGCACAGGGAATGACCGGAGGGCAGTGTAGGATGGGCAAGGGCAGCCTCACTTCAGCACTGACCACGCGGCATCCATCTCCTGATGGAGAGGGAGGCACCTCTGGCACTCCTCTGCCCACTTCTACCTTTATGACAACGCCATCGTAGCCTGCCCCGTTTTGATTTAATAGATTTATTTAGCGCCAAGGTCCCCAAGGCAGCGCTTACATCCTTCCCGGTGACTCCAACTGCTTCRGAGCAGTCAGCGCTTAACAAATTAATAATAAACTGAGTGTGCCTTGAAAGAGAGTCTCCTGTCCTCGGCAACGGGGCCGCCTCTCCCAATTACGCTAAAGGGCACTGCTGCAGACCCGGCGGAGCAAATGGTATTTAGCCACAGTCACCTTTTAATGGGCAGGAGATGATCCTACAATGGATGCAGTCAAGTGTATCGTACCTTAAGATATTCACACAGCTGCATACCAAGCGAGCAGGAGGGAGCTGGGCCTAAGTGAGCGCYGCTTGCTTAGCTCTTTTGTAGCAGCTGCTCAGGGCCTTGTCCCAGCGATGCCCAAGGTCTGGCATCCTACCTGAAATCACCAATTACGCTCAGCATCTAAGTAATGGGAAATATTCGCAAGGTTCAGCGCAGAACCTGGCAAATATTTGCCGAGGATTCGTCCAAATCTCTAGGCCCGCCACGCGCTCACCGCAAATTTATTTGCCAAGCGCGGTCCTCGCRCAGCTTTGCAAATGTGGAATAGGGATGGAGACTTTGCGTTGCACGTGGGAGCATGGGCTGCAAACAGGGAGCGACATTCCCGGGGGAGGACAAGCCAGGCAGGAGCCAGGGCTTGATAATTAACACTCGAAGCACGGGAGCACTGTGAGCTAATTAGGTACAAGGGGGGCAATCACTTCCTGAAGACGGCACGGAGGGGAATAGTGGGATCCTGCTTAGGATAGCGAGCGCTGCGCTCAGTGTCGCTGGATGACTCCAAGGGACACGACCATCGATGGCACCTGCAGCATGGGGCAGTGGGGCATCTTTCATCATCCGTTATCTCCCACCCCAACCAGACCAGGACACCAAGGGGACGTAAGGAAAAATTATTCCAAGCAGAGCCTATGTTGTTAAATGCGGAGAAATGCGAGCCGGACAAGGAAGCTCCCAGGCTTGGGCACGGCTAACAAGCTGGTGCACCACAAGAAAATACCCACGTGGAAATAGCCAGGCAGGATAAGGGATTTACTGCTTCTTTCACAGGAAAGGAAAGAATGAGCTTAAACACTCCATTTAAAAGCTGTAAAAATAAATAAATAAAAGCACGGATCTGCAGGAAGAACATCCGAGAGCAGCAGGATTACCAAGAGGAGACCCCCGCTCCATGCAGGGAGCAGCAGGACACCAGCACCGACCACCTGGACACCCAGAGCAGGACACGGCTCCTGCTGCAGTGGACGGAGCGYCGCGTTTCCCACCCCTGTGCCAGCGCCGGGCAGGGGACGTGCCAGACTCTCCTGCGCCTCCTCCTTCCCCTCCATCCTCCTCCTCATCCCAGCCGGGGCCTCGGGCGAGCGGCTCGCCCGCCACGTCTAGTTGTCATGCCAACATCTGCACGCGCTCCTCAGCGGCTGGAGCGCTTCTCCGGCTCTCATCTTGCCAAGGGATTGCCCTCCAAGCTCAAAGCCCTCTTCCGAGACCAGCAGCGCCGTGACTTCCACTAGAAACCAGCTAACGAGGCCGGCCCCGTAGACACAGCTCCAGGGGAACCAGCAAGAGCAGCCGGTGCAGAAATGTGTCTTTCCCCAAAGCTCTTGCATTTTAAAAGAAATACCTYTGGAGGAGGAGGAGCGCTTGTGTAGCCAAGAGCCCAGTTTTCCGACAGAAATATTTCAGTAGGGCCTTTTTTTTTGGACTACTTCCAGTCAGAACAAGGCACTGCCACCAGCCAGGCAAAGGTCCTACACTTTTCATAGCATGAAACCAGGTCCTCCAACCTGGAGAACCCAATGCTATTAGAACCTGTCCATGGTCCCGGTGAGAAGGAAGGTGAAAGACACAGTCATAGCTCCTGGGCTCAAGTAGCACCAGCTTCACCATCACCTGCAACCCCCAAACCCAAAACGCTCATGGCAGAAGAGTTCACAATATAGTCCAGAAACAACACGGTTGGGAGAGGAACCTGCTCTTAGATCATTAAACCCAGTCGCCCTAGGTCAAAGCCACCTTTCAACATCTCCAGCCATAGCAAGTCCACAGCCTTCCCTGGCAACTTCCACACGGCTAAATTGCCCTGATACACTGCAGTTTTCCTTTTTTTTTTTTTTTTTTTTTTTTGTAAAGAGCATCTCATTTCTCAGTGGCAACAAATACTCGGCAAAGCTTTCTCTGGCATACTCTCTCTGTTGTTCATCTCCCTCACACAAAACATTCCTAATGAAGAGAGAAAGAAGGATCTTGGCTTCTTTCAAAACAATCTGAAATATTATATTAAAAACATGCGCCGAGTGTTGACATATTTAGTGCGTTGCTTTATAAAGCAAATTGCCCAAGCTCGTTCAGAGCTTGACACTATTAAGACGACACACAAGCACGCAAACGGAGGCATGGCACTGAAGGCCCACTTTAAGGGAGGTCAGGGCGCCTACCCAAGCAGCAAGGCTCCCAAAAGCAGTCTGCCTCATCTAGTATCCCTCGGAAGGAAGGGATTGTCCGCACCATGAAGGAGGCGAACTCATGTCTGAGGATCGCAGCAGGTTTCAGACCTGTTAATCCTCCTCGTCCAGTGTACCCGGTCCTCACCAAGAGATCTGCAGACTCTCAAGACTGGGAAGACGTGCAGCTTGGCATGCCAAACCCTACCAACAACGGCTACCCAACTATGGAAGCAAACCCCATGATTTCCCTCACCACAMCGAGCCCAACTCCTTGGAAATGGGCAGAAAATTTCAATTCAGTAGGTTGCAAGCAGGGGGACACCTGAGTTTCCCCCTGCTAAAAGAGAGGTAAAAAGACAACCCTCAATGCAGGCAATAAAGAACCTGTGCGCCTATGAACCATCTAGAGCTAGAGACACCAAAAAAAGCTGCATTTTGTCTAAGCTTTAAGTGAAAACCTTTGAACAATACAGCAGTCAGATCTTCGAGCCATCGCTGACTTCAATCCTACCTGCTGCAAGTGTGAGGCATGGGCTCAGCTCTGCCTTTGCTAGCAGGAGCGCGCAGCACAGCTGTGAGCAGCGATACCGAGGAACCTGCACGCACTTCCCTTCTCCGAGGAACTCATAGGAGAGCAGGCCAGAAGTTTTAATATCATTTGCCACAATGACTTTGAAAAATTTCTCATTAAAACTCACCAAACTCAGCCCACGTCCAATCTAGTAGTTAAGGGAGACGTTTTGTTCTCCCTTATGTGGGGTAGATGAAATGTGGGGTAGATGAAGTGCATCTCCAAGCCCTGGTGGAACCAGGGAGATGGCTGAAGAGAGGGCCAGGGAAGGAAGGGTTGGAATCTGGGGGTTCTCCTTGAGCTCCTGAACACGGACAGCCACTCACTGAAGGTGGGTTTTGTCCTGTGCCTGACAGAGTCCCCACAGAGGCCCCTTGCTCTTGCTGCACACCTTTCAAGTACTCCAGACTCCACTGCAACAGGGTTTTCCAGACGCAAGCTGCTCCTCAGAAAATAAATAGGCATAGAGAAAGCTTTCAGTATGAGGCTGGTTTGCGTCCAAAAGGAATCCAAGGGCCAGACTAAGGTAGGAAATGGTGTCCTAACAGCCTCCTACGAAAGGCATGTGCGAGATACGACTCTCCGCCGACTCACAGACCACTCCAGCTACGTGTTGTTTTTCCAGGATAGGGACACAAGAGACAAACAGGTTTTCCAGCACTGTCTTTCACACTGAACATTAGCCCTAACCAAGGCCATACAGGCCAAAAGCCCAGAAAGCCTCAGGAGAGGCTTTGCAAGGACTTCCCTGGATCCAGGTGCCCGAGCTGAGCACGGACCATCACCCTGTGGCCTCGTCACAGCACCTTCTCCATCCCAGAAACAAAGATAGAAGCCTCATACTCTCAAGGGAGGCTAAAAGCCAAAGCCATATAGGAGCCTGTTCGTAAGCCGAATATAAGGCTGTTCTAAAGCAAGGATGGAGAATGCATCCTTACTTTTATAGCAGGTACTACCATGTTCTCGAGCTGACAGGGAGCCGTTCTGCTCACGCAGGGCATACATCGGCTGTCCATCAAAGACAATCCTTGTGCCAAAGAAAACCTGCCTAAGACRGGACAGGTACCAAGCAGGAGGACAGGGGTAGCCAATATCCACACACGCCAGSATCCCACCAGTTCGCTGCCCCACCAGCACGTCCGTTTCTCTACGGGACCCCCAGGTTGTGATGGTGACAAAACTGCCCTATCCTGCCCCAGTAGATATCTTAAAGCACATCTCTAAAGGCTGCTGGCATCGAGACAGACATCTCGAAGGAGAAGTGACCAGCACTGCTCTTCCTCCAATGTGTGAGGAGCATATGGCAAGGGAGGGGTGGAGGGGAAAGCCAGGCAGAGAGGGAATCTCRGAAAGCCACCGTGAAAGTGTCAGCACCGAGAACATGGTATGATTTCCTTTATCACGTTCCCATCTGAACAACCTCCAGTGCTATTAATTATTCAGTCATGGAAAGTCACATTTAAGGCAGCCACATGCATGCACCATTTGCAAGGAAGGGGCAGAGTTCTGTGCTTCTTCAAGCTCTCCTGCTTGAAGCTGAGGCTGCTCCTGTCAAAGCCTTGGCTTTTGTTAAGATATGCA